TATAGAGGCGTAGACTTGTATAAGAGGTAGTTTTGTAAAAGGAAATTATAGAAAACATAGCAATATGTTATTTTTTTAAATTTTGTTTTGATTATGAACACATGGTTAAGAAAATCTGGTAAAAAACTGACTTGGGAAATTTATTACACGGGTAGAAAGTTGTATTAAGATCTCTGATTTTTTCACAAATTCGGAAATGTCAGGACATGTATCATATTTAGTTTTTTGACTTCCTAGCCAACTACGCACTCATGACCAACTTGTGTTGCCACATCACTCCTCGACTATAGTAAAACTGTTTTATTATTTTTTCTTTCATAGATAATATTTCAAATCATTACATGAAATGAATTTGACAAAAAAAACTATGATCCTTTTTTTATTTCCGATCACTAGTCCTATATTTTTAGATAACTTTCAGTAATTTTGAGGATATATGAGCATTTAACATTAATTCTAAAAGGTTACTTAGTAAAAATTTTTACTCAAATAGCAAATTAAGAAAAAAATAGATAAATCAAATTTAATAAAATAAAAGTAATTATAATTAAAGTCAATAATTATGTGAAGGTCATTTGTCAGTATTCTAATCCTTACTAAATAATGAAATGTTATTTTATACTTATAAGAAAAAAATATATGGAGACCTGATTACAACAAATGCAATGACGTTCCTTATCTTAACTTCATACTTGTCAAGAGAAAAGTAAATATTGAATATTTGTTACAAAATCCATGATAAAACTATAAAAATTCTAACTATGAAGTTTATGGTTCACACTTATAGAATATCCCTCTGCTTACCAGAGAACATCTTTTATTATTATTATACATATTATATTTAAATTATTCGATACCGTACAAATTGCTAAGAATAGAATGACCTAGTTTTCCTTCATGTGTTTTGATAAAATTGCGGTCTTTAATCTAAATAGAGAACTTATTGCTATTCATAGCACCTACATACTATATATAATTTTTTTCTTAATTATTGAGAATATATACTAGTTCTTACTTCTCTATGGATTATTTGTCACCTCCAAAATATCAATGAAAGAAATGCGCTATATGCATATTACTTTTGCATGTAATTGCATCACAGCTTTTACTGCAATTTTTACTCTGTGTACTGACATAATTTTGAAATCATTAGTTATTTTATTGAGTAGCAAAAATGTTTTTTTTTTCATTCAAACCTGTTGTTGGAATTAAAGTAAAACATCAATTGCCAAAATTTAATATTTTAATCAATATATGTAACTGCATTTAATGTAATGTTATAAGGTTCCAATAAGAATCAACATGGAACAAGTTCCTGAAGCACATTAAAATTTATTATATTTTGACTTGCTTTCATTGTGGAGAATTTGAATGGAGTATTTTAAAAACTTATCTCTTTATTTTTGGTAATTACAAATAATGTTAAGACTTTGTGCTCGACCTGACCTGACGCAACACAAAACACCATGTGAATGTTTTTAACGCGATTTTTATTCACGAAACATGCGATATATTTTCGCGCCTAGACTATTTGAAGGTGAAACTGGTGGACGTGTATCAAGTTGTTTTTGTAATAGTTTTTATAGTATATTTTCTGAGAACACAAATTATTACAACATATCATTTATTTCAAATATTTATTTAAAATATTTACTTTTGTGGTAAAGTAATATTACCTATATATATATATAATATATATATATATATATATATATATATGTATACGTTTTGAGGGTATGATAAAATTATCAATTTGTATGTTTGCTGACACACTCCAAGTTTCCTGACATGCGGCTGACCTCGTTAGTACAAATGACTAATAATAAGTCAAAATACCTTGCTTTTGACTGTGTGTACATGAGAATCTACTTAAAATTATAATAGTATTAAATAGTAGTCTGCCCGAAGGCAGGTCCATGGTGTGAGATCATCACAAATCAATGATTTTCTTTCACTCCCTTGTTTATTATTAGCATTGACATTTTATTACCAAAAATCACTTTTTTATTGATTTTTCTTTCTAAACTTCTGCTTTTATACATTCTAGTCTTGTGCTTTGGCTTTCAGTTTCCTGTATTTTCTCTTCTCGAGTAAATCGTCAACCATCTGCATTCTTCTTCTTTCCAATCATTTCAATCCTTCTATTTTACCTTAGACGACATCGTGTAGGAGACTTCTCCTTAGGACGTCGTGTAGGAGACACTTTTTTATCAGAATGGGTCCGATCGAGTTTCCTTTCCTTTTCATAATCGTTCTCTGTACAGTTCTTCCACATATTGTATAATAATTTAATTGATATAAATTATTCGAACATATTTTTTATAAAAATTATTATAATTAAATTTAATAAAAATTAAAGTAATTATTAATACTGTCTCTCCTCAATACTATTTGATTTCCATTAATTACTTATTTGTTATTAGCATTCGGTGCTTTCAATACAAAAGCAGAATCGACGTCCATCCTAACGATTTAGCCAGCCAAGTCTACTGAAGCAAAAATTACCCAAATGTCTTCATTTAGTAACTTTTATATTATTTCTTTTTCCTTCACTTTTGTATTATTTGTCTTTTTGTTTCTGTTTAATATTATACTCCTATTAGGTTCCCCGCTGAATGTACCTATTATAAACAAATTATAAAGTTTCCCTTCATGTTATGGTTTCATTTGTTTATTATTCTCAATCGCTGCTCATTGTTTTATCTAACATATTGCAGAATAAATTGAATTAAAATATAAACTTTTGTATTTGCAAACAAGTTTCCAGAATATGCAATAAATATTTTGCTAGTCTTTATCCATCATAGTATAGATGTTTTAAGCAGCAACTAATATCTCGTGCGGAGCTAGATGGTCCCGCACATGTCCCGTACATGTCCCGCACATGACCTCATTCGGTTCAGTCTCCGCGTGTGTCTACTTACATACACACACACATGGCATAGCGTTACTTGCTGCTGCTTCATATGTTATGTACGAGTACGACTGCCGTCTATTACAATCGCAGCAATCTCTTTTATCTGCACTGTGTCCATTGCATCGCATTTGATTGCACAATACTACTATAACGTATAATGTTGTTTCCTTTCTCCCCTGGGCTGCCTAATAGTCTCTATAAATTGTTTAAAGTCTCGCAATAAACATTTTACGATCAAGGGAGCGTATCGCGATAATTAAATCTTATAATGGCATTAAAGGGTCGTTAGCTTGTGTATGTTTATTATTAGTACTTATAGTATTTATGATGATATTGTTTATGTTATATACATTGTATTTCAATTCGATTTTATCATTCCTACTTTTGAAATTATAGATATTGAAACTGCAGTAGATCTAATAGTAGTTTATATTGGGTGGTATCAGCAAGTATCTTTGGAATATCTAAATTTAATGTCAATCGAGTTGTCATAAATGTTTTTGCTTGCCCGATTATTGTTTGGATATATTTGGGAACAGGAATTTAGATCATATATAATTGTATCTTTCAAAAACCAGTGGTGCTAATAATTGAACTAAATCATTGCAAAAGTATTACATGCGAATCATTCCTTTTTTTCATTATTAAGATGAGTTAGCAAATTTGTCGCAGATTGTGATAAAGCGACTTGTATTATATTCAATATATATTAGCTTTATAATTATGTTTTTTTTTATATGATTATCAACGCTGGTCATTTTTAGCATAATTATATGAGAAATTTTTTCACATGGGTCATTGTAACTTTATTAGATAATTTTGTTAAAAATATATCAAGAAACTCAATGTATAGAAGAAACATTTTTTTCAAAGTTCCTGGAAATATACTGTTTTTATGTCACGTGGTATGGCCTTATAATAAAACTTCTTCGTGGTTTTCCATCAAATAAAGTATATGTCTGACATGGGCCTAACGTGTTAAAATGTGTAATGTAGAATTTCTTAGCGTCAGACATATATGACTGTCATGGCGATTAATGTGTTAAAATTTGTTTCATGATCAATTCATTTCCAAAATTAATTTGACTATTTTTACCTGTAGGATATTTAAATTTGTTTCATGATCAATTCATTTCCAATATTAATTCGACAATTTTTACCAGGACATTCACATTTGTTTCACGATCACGATGTTTCTTTTCTATTGTTAATTCGACCATTTTTACTATTACTATTCAAATTTGTCTCATGATCAATTATTTCCAATAAGAATTTGACCATTTTTGCCATTTATATTCAAATTTGTTTCATGATCAATTCATTTCTAATATGAATTTGACCATTTTTGCCATTTGTATTCAAATTTGTTTCATGATCAATTTATTTCCAATATTAATTCGACCATTTTACCAGTAGGATATTCAAATTTGTTTCATGATCAATTTATTTCTAATACTAATTAGACCATTTTTACCAGTAGGATATCAAATTTGTTTTATGATCAATTCATTTCCAATATAAATTTGACCATTTTTATGGATTACCCTAATAGGATAATCAAAAATTTGTTTCATGATCAATTCATTACCAAAATTAATTCGACCATTTTACCAGGATATTCAAATTTGTTTCATGATAAATAATAATAATAATAATAATAAATTTCCAATATTAATTCGTTCATTTTTATTTGTATGATATTCAAATTTGTTTCATGATCAATTCATTTCCAATATAAATTTGATCATTTTTACCTTTAGGATATTGAAAATTGTTTCATGATCAATTTATTTCCAATATTATTTTGACTATTTTGACCATTGTGATATTCAAATTTGTTTTATGATCAATTTATTTCCAATATTAATTTGACCATATATACCATTTATATTCAAATTTGTTTCATGATCAATTCATTTCCAATGTTATTTTGACCACTTTTACCAGTAGGATATAAAGTTTGTTTCGTGATCAATACATTTTCAATATTGGTTAGACCACATATTGGAAGATTTGACATAAATAATCTTAATTGTTCTATTAAATTATTGTCTGTATTTAATATATATTTTTATCTTTTCAGGGCAATTCAGTCATTTCGTCAGCTGTTGTACACCCGACCTACATTCTCAAGAGCTTCGGAAGTAAACATTCGGCTTGGGTTGATGCTAAAGATCCGCGCCGATTGGGATTCTGCATTGAAACAATTCAAACTCAGTCTCTTACAGGTATAAATAAATATACTAAAATATAATAATATAAATGTATATAATATAATTACATGCATATAAAATTTCAAATTTTAAAAATCCTTTACACCACGAGCTTAGACCTACGCTCCTATTCAGCTAAAGTAGTTCCTATATATGAGAAACATTTCATTAATAATTTAATAACTTTATTAATATGATTTATATTAGATTATAGTATTCTATCTATCTATTACCATTACCATTCATTATATCGCAATGAAGTCTTTATCAATGAATTCTATTTTCGTTTGTTCTAAAGAGAACTATTGACTCCTATATTTCATGCGTTGAGTAAAGTCACCAATTAATGTTCGAACTGACCCAGATTCGATGGAAATGCCGCGGAAAAAGAACGTGTTATCTAGTATCTACTGCCGGTAATGAGTGCTTGAAAAGGTTACACAAAGTAATAAAAACGAGAATAATTATTACCATACTTGAAATTTTATTTTGTTTTATTCGAGTTTGTGTAAATATTTTATTTAAAATCAATATCAACATTATTGATACTTAGTAAAATTTTGCAATTGCATATTACATTTTGACATGTTACTAATTGATAGATTGGTTGTTAGTAATGGCCTTAAGCCAGTGGTTTCAAAACTTCTCGCACTGCAACTCCTGTTTTTTTTTAAAAAAAAAAAACATTGTTGCACCCTCTTTAATTTATATAACAATATAATGTCATCAATACTGATCCTTATAATCAACTGATATTATAATTTATTTACCAGGCTACAAATTAATATACAATATTATGAAAAAAATGTTCATACAAAATTATTTTGTACTTATTTATTTTTTTCATATCATTAACAACATTTTTGCTTTATTTTTGAAAATAATACTGTGGTCAATATTATATTGAAGTGTTCATATATATTCAAGTATTCATATAGATTTAGGTATTTTTATAAATCAAACCATTTTAAATGTACACTTCTTTTTAAGGTTATTCGACGATCAAATATTCCATTTTCTATTTACAATTTGTTTCTGGCGTTGAATCTAATTGGACTTCTAAAAATTTTGGCATCATCATGTTCTTGTCAATATGTATAATGCATTTTTTTAAATAATTATTTTTCTTGATATCTTGTTTCTTATAACACAGGCCTACAATTTTTTTTGTTTGGTTCATCAAATGTTAGATTCTTATAGTATTTTTGTGCTGATTTCAAATCTGCAAACCATTTTTTTGTATCAGCTCTAGTTTTGAACTTGGAAAGAAGTTGCCGAAACCAGGTCGATTGCAGGTCAACTAATGTCCCAACTAAGGTCCAATGGGTCTTGTAAGTTTGTATGTACGAGTAGGCATGTCTCATTAAAATAACATTCTGAATTACTATTTTGTACTTTCATTCCTTACATATCGCATATATCATATCTTGAAAAATAAAGCTCAAATAAAAAAACAATGTCATTTTTGAAATCAGCGCCCCAAATATACTTAAAAACAGCATTAAAATCGTTTGCACCATTTTTTTTGTTGGCCTGTTTAATCTAATCGAAAAAATATTTTGCATATCTTTACGTTTCTGAGGTTTCTGAACATTTTGGCATACCTTAGAAAAAAATTATATGTGTGGATGTATGTGGTGTGTAGGTATGTATGTTCGGATACAAATTTCGCCCACGATTTCAAGAGCACGATTTCAATCAACCGATTTGGATGATTCAAAAAGCATTCGATTCCTATTGATGGGGAGATGTGCTAATTAGTGCAAAAAATGACATGTCAGTGTTTGAGAAAATGTAACGTCGAATTTGAGTGATTCAAAAAACATCACACTTGTATTGACAAAATGTAGATTTGAATATTTTTTTTGGAACGCAAGTCTAATGGTTTCGGAGATCTAATAAAAAAAAGTAAAAAAATGCCATTGGTAGTCAAAAAACATCAGTAGACATAAGCACATCAAATTTTAAGATATTTTATGCCAATTTTAATAACATGTAAAATTTTGTTTACATTGGGTTCCATACCAAGCTTTATAATAAATAACCGTTAGAGATTGCAACGCGGCGTGTACGTGCTTCGATATTTTGTTTATAAAACGGCTACATAGCGCGATTGCGTTGAAAAATACTCGAAATTTTAGAAAAATTTCATAATTATCAAAAATGTTGAAATTACGGTACGTGAGTTCTAGCAATTTGCCTTAAGGCACGATATCATGCCCCACTAGTTTCGATATAAAGCTACTAGTCTATAGTCATTCTATAGTCGAGGATATTGGTACGCTTTTTAAATCAAGAATTATCCCTTATCTCAATGTCCCTTGTTTCACGCACTTCCAAAGTGCAAGACAATATCTCGATTAAATAATATATGTTCTTAAAAATATTAGCGATCATAGTTATTTCCATTATTCCATCAATTCCATTCACAAAGCTCTTGTAAATAATAAAATGTAATCCTTTATTGCAGGCTTCAAACGGCGTATCGAACAGTGCCCATCCGCCGTCCGCCGTCTCACAGTCGTCGGGTCGCTCCTTCACCGAAGCGGAGGTGCGATTTCACATCGCGCATACGCACGAATTGCGAGGCGCCACTCGCGTCGCCCGCGAACACTACGAACGTCTGCTGCGCGACGCCAGCGCCAGCGACTCCCTCCGAGCGGATGTCTGCCGCCAATTAGGATGGCTGCACCACACCACTCCGGGAAACAATGCTGATAGGTAAGGGTAAAGGTTCGAGGGGAGAAGAAATTAAGAATAGATTGTATTTTTTTTTATATTCGTGATCATCATGGTTTTGACCATTGGCTTTTTAAAATTACAGTAGAAGTCCATTAGTCCGTCGCCCAACAGTCCGGGATTCCCGATAGTCTAGCATAGTTTCGGAAAAATTATGTTTGCTCCGAAGTAAATCAGAGTAGTTTGGGCGAGAATAGATTTTTTAAAATAAAAATAGTGTTTTATTTGTATACCAACTAGTAAACCGGGCAAACTCCGTTTCACCACCAGATGGTTTCATTTTATGTAACATTTCGTTTGGTGTTTAAAAGATGAAGAAAAAAATTGCCTGCTCTTGAAATTTTAATAAAAATTTGCACAATACACGTGATTGATTTGATGGTTTCCAATTGAAATGTTAGGAAACGAAAAACTTATTTTTTTACTTTTTTTTGCAATTTCACAGTGAACACAATGCCAGTTTGTCACATGAAATTAACTGAGCAGAGAAAAATGAGTATCTGTCAAACAAATGAGTAGCAGTCAAACAAAATATATTTTGTTTTTGGTTTGTAGTACATGCTAAGTATCAGAGATGACACTGTATGTGAAAAAAGAAAAAAAGTTTTCCGCTTTTCTGTTGGAATCTTTCTTCAATTTTCTATAAACCTCACGGAGTCCGAGACCTTTCCAAAGAATGCAAAATTGTCGAAATCGGTTCGTGCATTTTGGAGTTATTAGGAAGGAAAACTCAACTTATTTTTATATATACCAATATTCATATATCAGTTTGCTACTGCATGTAGCATCTGTCTGTCAGTGAGTGTTTCTCCGAAAATTTGGGAAACTGATAGGTATAACCTTAGAAAAGCCTCTTGCGAATTTCGATCGAAACCAAGTGGTAGGGGCTGGCCGCTCCGAAGACTTTTTTAAACAGTCGAGACTACTAAGTTAGGTAACAACTAACAATTGAAACAATAGCTTCTAGACAAACATTTAAAAAAAGCAATACCAGAACAGATATAGTGTATTGTTCAAATGGTTTGGAGCAGTACTTTCGGAAGGAAAGCCGGTAAGGGGGCGTCAATTAATCACGTGAGCGAGTTTTTAAGGATCTTTGGACCGCCCCTCCCCCTTGGTGATACATGGTGATATTCAAAATTACCCCCCTCCCCCACCAAATATCACGTGTGTTTTTAGTTACGTGATAAAACTGTAAAATTTTTGAATTTTTTTTGAAAATGTTTGAATTTAAAAAAAAATAGTTAAAAAATAAATACACGTAATATCTCACTATACTTCTCCCTCCCTCACGTGATATTTCATGCTTTTTTTCAAACCCCACCTAACTGGGCCCATGATTGATAAAAATGCAAAAAATTCGCCTAAGATTTGAGTGTTGCTGAAATTATATATAAGTTTTCTAATGATTGGCTCAGAAGGGCTTCTAAATTCGACCGATTTTTAAAAAAAATTAACAAAAAGTCTTAATACTTGAAAACTTGGAGCAATTGTCCCATTATTGTTGACTCTGGTTCTAGAAATGGTATTGGTTGACTCTGGTTCTAGAAATGGTATTTACAATTACGGATCCAAAGTTTAAATGAAAAAATATAATAAAATGTAACCAAAATGGTGACAATTTTACCAAAACTCTACGTTGCACTCAGAAGCTAATAATTTCCAAACAACGTGATTTTTCTTTTAAAATTACAATCTGTGACACTTAACACATTCAGTAATTGTTTTGATTTTATTATATGGGTTTTTGAATGGATGGCAACCCAGTAGTTGTTCAATCCAATTATGATTAATTAACTATACTTGAAGTATTTGCTGACATTTAAACACGTTAGATCTTTATTTTTATAATTTCTTCCACGACTGTTACGGTTAATACTATCACCCCGTTTCGGTTTCACGTATAGTTCTGAGAAACCTTGTATAAAAATACTAAAACCTTTTCAAATATAGTAAAATCTACTATTCTACATCATATAAACTTACTTGCTTTTACATCAGAATATTGACGAATATTGTATCAGAAAATATTTATCTCTAACAAGACAAACCTTGAGTAGAATCACTTGATAAGAACAGCTAATTAGTAACAATCACATAACGCACGTGTACACTTACCTGAGACGATTCTGCCTCATATGAAGTCCAAGTAATAATTGTCATTATATGTATATTTGTTACAAGTTAATTTTTATATAAATAATCAAAAATTACTATAGAT